TCTTCGGGCCTCCTTTTGGCTGCCTTGAATCCTTTCGGAGTGTCCATGGTCTGAAACATATATCATCATTTGATGGTACGTTGAGACTACCCCTTGGATCTCGTGAATTATGGGCCTCCCCATAATCACGTTGTATAAAGACGGAACGTCCATGACAAAAAAATTCGGACATGATATTCCGGGCTGCTCAGTCTCTGCCGATGGTAATAGGCAGGCTGATTTTCCCGTCTGGATATGTTGCAGACCCATTGAACCCAGATACCGGGTAAGGTACCGGAGTCAAGTGCTTGGCCTTCAACTTCAGCTGGTTGTAAGCCTCTTGGAAGAGGATATTCGCACCACTTCCGTCGTCGACGAGAGTTCGCCAGACTTCGTGGTTTGCGATCCCTGTGACGATCGCCAGTGGGTCATCATGGGGGTATGCCAACCCTCGGCAGTCTTCGGCTGTGAACGTAAAGTTCGGCACTGGAGACTGGGGTGCTCGGGTATCAGCATGGTTCACTTGATGGGTCAAGCCCCCCAAGTGGCGTTTTCGCACTTTTCGAGAGCTTGTTCCTCCGAAAATGACAAGGATGTCGGGATTGTCTCTGTCCTGCAGCTTGTCTTTTTACTGGGGGAAGTTCAGTTCTTGCTGGCGATCCGCGATATATTTTTTCAAGTAAACTTTCTGGACCATATCCTCGATCTGAGCCCTCAGCTGGATACAGTCCTCGGTGTGATGTCTAAGAGACTCATGGAATTCACACCATCGGTCCTTGTTTTTCTGCAGATGCCACGATGGTAGTGGCCTCGGCTTCTTGTACTTCTACTCGTCCTTCGTTATGTTTTAGATCTTAGCACATGGAAGGGCGAGAGGAGTTATGATTCGTATTTCCCCACGAATGGGGTTTTTTCTTTTCTTTAGCTCGGGAGCCGAGGATAGTTCTAAGGCTTTCGCCTTCTGTTTCCTCTAGCTCTGGCTCTCGGATTGCTGTCCCTTTCCCTTCCCACCCCCGGATTGAGACTGGGATTTGGTTTTGTTCCATCGTCGGCTCGGATGTATTTATTCGAGGCATCCAGAGCTTCCTCCAAGGTCTACGGGGGATGCATGACCATGAAGTCAAGGAACTTTCCAGCTTGTAGCCTGTTTCGCAGTGCGAAAACGGCTAGCCCTTGGTCCATACTTGTAATTCTGGACGACTCGTTGCTGAAGCGAGTTAGATAGTCTCGGAGGCTCTCGTCCTCCCCTTGCTGCAGGCTCATCAGCTCTGCAGTTGTTTTCTCTCGGCGGTTCGCCGTAGAAAACTTGCTCTTGAACTTGTTGGAAAGGTCTTTCCAACCAGTTATCGAGCCTTCCTTTATTCCCTTGGTGATTCACGCTTGTGCAACACCTTTAAGAGTGGTCTTGAAATATTTACACCAGGTCGCTTCGGACCTGGGGTTCAGATACATGTGCCCCTCGTAAGAGGCAATGTGGTCCTTCAGATCTAAAGTACCATCATAAGTTATGTGTGCCGGGATTTTCACCGTTGACACATGCTCTTCCAAAATCCAGCTTTGGAAGGGTGAGCTGGTGGGAACCATCACGGCCTTTCCCTTATGTCTAGCCGGCGCGACCTTGCTCCTCTCGCTCAAAGAGGTTGAAGTGGTTTTCATTCTCGGGTGAGACGATTCGGGACAAGGCTCAGTTCCCTCAAGGTAGGTGAGGCAACTGTGCACGCTCACCTCCCTTGAGCCGAGACGTTCGTGAACGTTTCTGCGAGCAGGCTCTTGCCACGCTGAGGTGGTGTTGCTGCTTTTGTAGCTTCGGGAGTTTTGAGTCTCGGATTCTCAAAGAACTGAGGGTTCTTTTTCCTCTCCCGCTCAGTCCTCCAAGTGGCCTCCTCCCATTTATCCCCGAGCTCCTTAAAGGATAGGGCTCGTCCACTTTCCTCTTGGCCGGTCCTCCTTCTCAAGTTTCTCGGCGGAAGAGGTGAGTGGTCACTGGATGGTGGAAAGTCGCCTCCTTAGGCTTTCATGAGGTCCATGAAGACCGTGAGGGCTCGTGCCACTTCCTCCGTAGAGGGCCCCGTTTAAGGAGTTGTTCTCGGTTAAGACCGAGAATGGAAACTTCGAGGGAGACTCTTAGCATTGGACTGACTCGGCACATATAAGTTGATCGGCTGGCGAGTATGATGAGATGGTGACCTCTTTGGCGCTGCCCTTTCCAGGGAAGAGGGAGCTTTCGAAGAAGAAGAAGAAGAAGAAGAAGAAGAAGAAGAAAGTTCCGGTGATGGTGGAGTAGGCGGATTCATTCTCACCGGAATTGGACCTTTCCTCGAAGAAGAAGGGTCGTTCTTCTTAGTACTCTTGGCACTCTTACCACTCTTGGTCATTTTTGCTAAGATTGGTTGATTTTTGACTTACTTTTGAATGTACTCCCCACAGACGGCGCCAAATTGTTTCAGGTAAAACAATAGGACCTTCAGCAAGGTCCTTTTCTGTGGCCTGGGCTGAAGATTGATCTCGGTCCAAGTAATGGCTGGGCCGAGGGTTTCCTGCACAGCAAACACACGTAAACTGGCCTCAGGGGTTGTGCCGAGGAAGGCCCCTCCGATGCCGAAGTCAATACAGTGTTTAGAGAGAGAAAGCTATGCAAGAGTATTAATTGCTTGAGGCTTGAATTGCATGACTGTAGAGAGAAGAGATTGAAGGCTTTTATACCTTTGCTCAATAGATAAATGGACCTTGAATCAAGTGGGCTTGCCACGTGACTGGGCCTTGACTGACTTGGCAATTATTTGGAGAGTTGAACCTTGCTTTGGGCTTTGCAATTAAATCATTTATGGACCGGCCCAATTGAAGTAAATTGGACCCAAACACTTATTAGCAAAATCTATCTTGCTCTAAGACAGGCAAAAGAGACTTCTACAAGCCTTCTCGAATCCCATTGGTTGGCTTCAATTCAAACAAACATAAGAGAATTTCATAAGAAGACTATCAACTGTCTGCATATTCAGTAGCATAGCACTATATATTTCTTCTTGCTAATTTTGATTTAAATAAGATGACTATTGTTCTTTCACTTCTTTGTGAAGGTATATCTAGCGGGGTTGCAGGATAACAAGAAAGACTGGGTTGAGATGATATTGCTTAATTTTAGGATAAAATTATAGACAATAGAAAATTATAGAGCTTTCAAAAGATAAAATCTGCTATGATATTATAGACCAACATACTAATGTTTACCTCTGGACTTGAAGGTCACGAAGAACAAGCCATTGAAGAGCGAAGACCATAACCAACAAACCCATGAAAGGAGCAATAAACATATATAACAGTCCATAAAGGCAAATACATCAAAGCTTACCCAGATGACCAACCAAACGCTTTCCCTAAATCCAACGCAACCACCAAGTAATTCAGCGCCTACGAGATTCCGAGTGTCACCTTCATCTCCGACCAATACGCTGAGAAATCGAAGTTTGTTTCGTTGAATGCCTGCCATTATTGCTTTTGTCAAAAAAAAAAAACATAAACATATTATTAATTTTACAAAATATAAAACGCGCTGCTTTAAGGTGAAACTAGATTGCTTCAACTTTGATGATGGTAATGGTGTTGGCGCGGTGTTGGGTGAAGGAACAGGAGGAAATTTGGGGATTTTAATCAGGTTTTCTTGGCTTAATTTTAACACTAATTTTGATGCTAAATTGATTGTTTTTCAAGGCTATCAATTTTATTTTATTATTTTTTTTTTTCCGCAGGTTTAGAGCTTTAGTGCTGATAACGTGTTGTAAAATAAGGAGAAACATAAGAGATTGAGAGGGATTTGATCTGTATATCTTTGTTCCATATGATGATGCTATATATACATACAATATAATTAGGGTTTGTTTGGATAAGAATAAACCCTATATCTAGAATATTTTGGAATGATACAAGGAGTATTATAATGGTCATCCACACAATATTTCATAACAATAACTACGATTTTTATTTAATGTTCTTTTATTTATATGTAATGTTCTTTATTTTATATGTAATATTCTTTTTCAAGAAACATGATGTACTCTATGTTCGTTTGTAATGTATAATAAATGACAAATTCTTATATGCGGCTGGCCACGTGGCCAGATAATTACGATATTTTTATATGCCCATTATTATATAAATTCAAAGAATATATATATATATATGTAATGTTCTTTTATTTATAATTTATGTTCTTTTATTTTAAAAAAGTATTATAACTAAAATTTATTTTATATGCTCATTATTATAAAAATTCAAAAAAAAAATTAAAAAGAAAATTATATATATATATATATATATATAATATGTTCTTTTATTTATGTTGTGTTGGAGGTTTTTTTTTTTAGTAGTTAAGGACTACCTATTTGTCTGTATCATTGGTTTAACCATAATTTTTTGGTTAAAATGACCATCTAATTGGTTGATAGCCATGATTGGAAAACTTATTAGAAGCATAAATGAAAATTTGAACACAACCATTAAAATTATAGCACAACATGGATATAAACTAATGATTCAAGTACGTAGTACCTACAAATCCAAGTGAAAAAAATAATGATAAAAAACACCGATCGCCAAACCACTAACTAGTTAAATTAAAAACGCATAAATTGGCGTACAACATTTTAAATTCGCTATTAAACTTGACTTTGATGAGCTCTCTTTTTGATTTAAGAGATGATGTAACTAATCCCGATTCAGGTGTCCATAACTCTAAACCTATCGAAGCTTGCATCCTTCTACCTGTTATATAAGTACAGACAATATGATTTAACTGAGAAGCAAACAAAAGAGGCAACACTTTACCTTGTCCTGACATTAGCTCTGGTACAGGGTAGGTTAAATACTAGTGGGGATAGGCCTTATGAGGGTAAAAAGAGGCCTCAACTCTATAAAAACAAATTTCATTACAAGCTCCGTTGTAAAATTTAGACCTAATCATTAATCAAGAAGCAGTGGGATCGGTGGAATCCTACAATCAATTTCATCTACACCATTGCGTTTTGTTGCTTTCTATGGATCATTTCTTCCTTCCTTTTGTTCAAAAAAAATCTAATAGATCAAACCTGACACTGCACTCCCGTTACAAATCCAGTTTACTTGGCCCCGCAAATCCAGAGGAAAAAAACTCTACTACGCCAAAATTGTAGCTATAAGATTATGGACAAGTACAGAACAATCTAGCCCTCGACTAACAAATCAAAAATGGCTGGCTTGTTCATCTTCAGACTTTTTCGCACTCTGACCAACTTCGACTGGTATTGGACCATACAAGCAAACACGTAGACTTCCTTGAAGAAGTCGCTGGTGGAAATAGCTCTTATATAAATCCCAGAATTCATCCCTATTAGAAGATGCAGATATCTATCAGAATGCATAAACAAATGAGATCAATGAAAACAAAATGATTTGCTCAAGTACTCAACTCATTATGGTTCTACAATTCTACTCTCTGACAAAAAGGTAGATTTATGGGATCCAAGAATCTACCCATCCATCCTATTCCTAGTTTCCTACATTCGTGTCTATCTAGTGCTGCATGTTTTAAAGTTTACATTATTCTACTCTGAAGGGTCCTTGAACCTGTAATTTCAGAGGGGTGATAAAGGCCAAAATCAATATATACGCTGACTTCCCAACTTGAGAGATGGACAGCAACCAAAGAAAATATGAAAACATTTTTTTTTAGCAAAAAAGGCCAATCTAACCTGACTTGTTGGAGGCTAAGCAATGAAAAGCCTTTAACATCAGTATGCATATCAAGAACGACTACTTCCAGTCGTGATAACCCTAAGGCTTCCATTTCACACAATTTCTTTATCCTGAAAAAAAAAAAAAAAAAAAAAAAAAAAAAAAAAAAAGTGTCATAATAGACAAACTGGAAAAAATGAGCAAGGCAATTACAAACTATAGTTATTAGCCTCTAGTGAACATCACCACTCATAACACATTCTTTATGTTTTATTTATACTCTAATATACAAGACACTAACATTGTACAAAAAACAAAACAGATCTGGACACCCTTATAAACCCTTGAAGCCTGAAATTGCATAAGCACAAAGGAAACAAAACCGAAAACAACAAAAAATATCCCACTTGGGACACAGAAACCTCTAATGACAGTCTCAGAAATGGTCTATGGTTGGTACATCAAAGATTTCAGAGAATATCTACAGCAGTCATAATTTAGAGGTGATCAATAATTTTAAGCAGCTTAGCATTGTTAATAATAGGATAGTGTAAAAAGGTCCATCTTTAACAATCACAAAGCAAGGGCTTTACAAGGATCATACTGTTTAGTTATATAATTTTCTAGTAAAAAAATCCTTGTTCATAAATCATAACAGAAAGGCATACTCCACTAAAGTGAGTTATACAAACTCCTAAAATCAATCTTATGGGCGTTCCCTCTAGTGCAATAATAGGAAATCTAACTCAGTGGCAATTTGGCAATCCTTCGTGAATTTCATGCAGACAAGAAACTTTTTTGTTAGAAAATGAGTGCAGAACTGAAAGAGGCATCCTTTTTCTTATATACTCCGCTAATCAAACAAATACTTGAACAAATTTAGTTTCAAGAATCTCTAAACTCCAAGCTATAAAGTCTAAACACCCAAAAAAACTACAAAAGCATTTAATTAAATGACCATCTATATACCATAAACAAGGCAATTAGGAAATTATTACTTACTGAGTTGGGTTTTTATGTTTATTCAAATTCATTGACAAAATTTACTTCTTCATGCTAACCAGGGTAAATTAAGCTGGATGGATCTTTGACATGTATCTCGTTCACTCCATATCATCTTTCCATGTTCCATATATAAGTTCCATCAATTCCCCTCTACCCCAAGTTCATCACCTAAGCAGATCATAGCAGGATAGCAATGCAACAAAATTTAATGCACACTCTAAATTCAAATGGCATTTTCCACAAATATTGATAGGACTCCATGCATTCTGTAATTGGTCATACACATTATCTTTATCTCACTGCCTGAAAATACGTGTTTCCCTGAACAGCAGACTGCATACAGCTATGCTGCTAGCATAAAAAGAATTAAAAATTCAATTGGGAAAAGAGCTCAATTGAGCAACGCATTTCATAGAAACAAATTAAATCCTGGTGCTGCAAATACTGCCAGAACTACAAAGCCAGCACTACACATTTACAAAAGAAGGCTAGAGACAAACAATAAACCCTCAACATCACTGGGATGATAAAGCATAAAGACCAGCAAGAGTTGTAAACAATAAGTCTGAATGCTCTCAAGCTAATGAATTGCTCATAATCTCATCTAAAAAACCAAAGGAAGAAATGAAGAGCTTGAACTGAACAGTATACAAGCATGAAAAAACACTTGAAGGCCTAACTTGAGTGAGCTAAGTCCTTGCAGATTGTTCTGCATACCAAGCATCATTTCTATGGCTGCTACTTGGACATTGCATGAATATATCACTAGAGTTCCTCAATTACTAAAATAGAAGTACTCCAGTCTAGTCTCTACCAATATAAAATCTAGAAAGGGGAAAAAAAAAAGAAACAGGAACAGTAAACTAGAGTCATGAAAGTAGTGAACATCAAGAGTCGTGACTTAATTAGGCCACGTATACCCTTTTGCTAGAGCAGGAAAGTCTGACACAAAATCCACCAAACAGTCATCTACTGGACCCACAAAAAAAAAGTTTAACTATATCTACGACTAGCAAATCAAAACACAACATATTTTGTACACAAAGAAATAAGAATAGCAAATTTAATAATGTAAATTGTTACCTGCTTGGTGTACCACTGGCGATATTCACACGATTCTTTAATTGAGTTACCTGCAATTATCAGAAACTGTCTTCCTGAGCAACTTTTAATACCTTAGCTCACTAAAAGAGAAAGATGAATACAATTTAAAAGAAACCATCGGGGGATTGTCTGATATTCAAGGCAAGCACAAAATTATGGGCATAAATACTGACTGAGGTAAAACATGCTCAAGACAATAGGACTCAAAATATTCAGTTGACATTAATATGATATTTACGGAGTTTCTGATTACCAAAATGCATCACATAATCTTATGACAAGGAAAAAAAAATGTCAGTATGAATCTATCTGACTAACAATGTGATGCAAATGCAGAAGATCAGAAAACAGATTAAGCGCCTATTGCTGTCATGTTCAACGGATTAGGATTTGGCTTAGTCTTACTTTGTTTCATGTTAATGATCGAGGAAGCATAGATTTTGCATTTTCTTTGCATATCCTATTACTATCTTTCAATAAGCTCTATTTCGTTTACTTAGCTAATAAAAGGGTCCAGCCAGAGAGTTTCTATGCTTTATTAAGTAAGATTGTCAGATTGTGAGCTGATTTCATTAGAATGGCCAAGAATAGGCTTGTTATTTTAAACAATGTTTGTATGTGTAGGGTTTGTTTAGGTGTTAATAACATCTTCTTATCCTTGGGGCTACAAGGTTGGTTTACGTACAAATACATGTCCTAAGCTTTTAAAAAGGCATCACATTGCTATGCATTGCGAAACACGGAATTTGAAGACATATAACCCTAAAACCTTCATTTGGCCTATGCGTGAAACATTGTGCATTATTAGTATCAGAACCATCTTATCTTGAAATTTTAAATGCACTCATTTTGATCATTCATGAGGTTTGCATAATATCTAAGATAATCTATGAAGTAGAACACATCTTCAAGGGAGGAAAAAAAAAGGCTTTATATCTTCAAGGGAAAAAAGCTTTCTATCAAAGAGTCACCTAGATCCGCGTCACACTGATGGTTTTTGGTCATATCATACAAGTAATATATATATTGTCAATTACAATTCTAGTTCCAGGCATGACATTGTTTGTATTCATAAAGGTGAAAAGTTGATGCAATAAAATTCTTAGCATCTAGGAACAGAACACCACATAATGGGCCTGGCAGAATGCAGCGTTAAAAAAAGGCTTCCTTGTTATGTTAATAAGTCAACTTTTAACACCAACGTCACCCCCAATGCCTCTAAAGAAGCCCACACATTGATTGCACTAGGGGGAAAGGATGTATAGTCTTATGGATTAATATCCAATGTGGACTAAAGAGGTTTCCAAATGTGCAGAAACATATACAGAGTTGCCAAGCATCTTTTCAGCCATCTAATTGTGCCATTTTAATTGCGTAGTAAGGTGAGGTACAAAAAGTAACCTGCTCATCAATTTTCAAATGCTTCGAGAATAGCTTCACAGCTTGGCATTCTTTAGTCAATATCCGCAAGCCCCTGCGGATGGAGTGTGCAGAAAAAAGATATTTTTAATGTCAAAACTATGCACAAGACAACCCATTAGCCTTTTTTTTATCTTAATCTAGGTTGAAGCTGCAATTCATATCGATGAAGTCATATAAGGTTGCTGCCAAAAAAAAAAAAAAAAAAGATGTTTCTAAAGTCAAAGTAATACAAAGGTCAAACTCAAACCTCAGCATTTCCAATGATTTTATGGCAGAAGCGCTAATAACCAAGACAGCTGGGTTACCAGGGTCAACTTTTCCCTCAACAAGCTGTGATTCACAAAGCACTTCTTTCCATGATGATCCAAATACACCTTTAATATGCTCCCCCAAGTTGCCAGCATCCTGACTAATTCTCTCCAACGGCTTTGGAAAGTACGTATCTGCTAAACATGAACCCGATATAGCAACTTAATATGAAATATCATTTTCTTTGCAAACCAAGTGCATAATGTGGTAAACAAAATGAGTACACAAATCAGAAGTTCTATTCATGCACACATACCCTATAGTTTCTAATTTTCTAAGCTGATCCTTGAAGAAAATCACCTTGAATATCCTTGAGATTGAACGCTTTTTGTGTATGAACGAAAGGTGTTTTAATAATTGGAAGGATAAAATCAGCAAAAAGAAAAAGTAGCACTACTCAAAGAAGGGAGGGAAATTATTTTTTGTAAAAAAAGTCAAATTACTTTGAATCCTACCAAAGTGCCAGATTTCAGATTTGTTTGTTGGAACTTGGAAGTATCCGACTATAATGCATCAAGATTGTCTATAGCTGCATATTTGTTTTACGGGAATAATACCAAACTATCCATATCCTTTTTACAGTCAAATACTGAAATACATGTACAACATAGATTGGCTGTCAAAGAAACTAAGTAGGAACATACACTAAAAACCTTTTTTGTAAGTGGTAAAAAATGATGATAATGGGAATGAATTAAAATGTAATTTTACAAGGAAAACATTATGTCAACTAACTACCATAGTAATGCAACTTCATCTTCAAACATGTGTTTTTCTTTAATTTCTATACCCACCTAGTAACTCCCCAAGTAGTAAAAGATAGTAACAAAAATTTATAAAGGAAAAGAGATAGTTTGGAGTGAACTAGCATTACTATTAGACCGGGCAAATGGGTCGTTCAAGTCGGGTCAGTTAACATTCGGGTTGGGTCGGGTCCATTCGGGCTTTGTGTATGACTCGGGTCAGGTATTGGGTCGAGTTCGGGTCGGGTCAATTTCGGGTCGGGTATGTTTGGGTCACACCATTTTCAGGTCAAGTATGTTCGAGTCATATTCGGGTTGGGTCAAAATCAGGTCGAGTCATGTTTAGGTTGTTCAATTTGTGGATCAAGCTCAAATAAATAATTTTATATTTTGTTAATGTTAAATAAGAATTAACAATTCGGTTTATGAGCTTGGCTATACTTGAAATTGAACAATTTGAGTTATTTTTGACACCAGACATTTTTAGTTCAATTATAAGGTAATTTTAGTTCGTGACATTTCGGGTACTTGGTCTATTCGGGTCAATTTCGGGTATCGGGGTCAATTCGGGTGTCGGGTCAGGATCGAGTCAACTCTATTTACGGGTCAGGTCGGGTCAATTTCGGGTTTCCGGTCGATGTTTTCCGGTCGGGTCATGGGTTGGGTCATTGGGTCTAGGTCAGGATTGCCGGGTCTAATTACTATGGCCATTAGCATAGGACTTCCCTTATAACAACAGCAACAACAACAACAAAGCCTTAGTCCAAAAATGGTTTAGGACTTCCCTTATACATTTATAAATATATATATATACTCTTGTATCCACCCTTTTAAACGAAGCATGTAAGTTTTTAACAAAAACATAGCACCTACTACCCACAGATGGATCATTCGCCTAGGGTGAAGAAAGTCTTACTGTTTTACAATACTCCATATCAACTAACAGTCAAAAGCTGCAACTTCTTAGCCTAAACATTTTGACAACATTAGACTACTACCCATCACCACTCACAAAAGACGAAACCTATAATATCCACGAAACCTGGTTCTGATAAACAGCATATATGCTAGCCCAGAAATATCCTAATTAATTAAATCACTTAAACTAAATGTGCTAAGTTTTTGCCTACAGAGGCTACAATACATACAACATTAACAAGAAATACAACAGTTTGAACTCGGCTCAAAGATATATAGGCATAAAATACATAAATTTATATAAATTGGCCTTGCAAATCATAGCAACTACGCTAATAAACATTAGTGAAAAATCATAAATATACAAACTTTACTCAATTTTGTTGGCCCAAAAAATCAAATCAAACATAAATAGCATATATTAATTAAACATGGATTAATACACAATTAAAATAATACAGTTTAACAAAATAAAATAGGTAATTAAATGAGGGGGAAGATGACCTTTAATGGATTCCAACTCAAGGGAAGAGAGTTTGATGCCACTTGCAGATTCAAATTGATCAACAAAAAATTTGCGACGCTCAGATGGTGGTAGAATTTGGGAAGTAACAACAGCTTTTTTGATGGGTTTATCAACCTTAATTTCCTTTTCAATTGTGGGTTTATCTTTCAATAGTTTTTTGTTTTTCTTGGGATTTTTGGTTTTGGGTTTTTTGGGAGCAAGAGATTTAGGACGATTATTGCCAAATTTTGAGGGTTTATTCTTGCCAAATTTTGAGGGTTTGTTCTTGCCTCTTACTGCTTTGCCAGTCGCCATTGTTGTTGGTTGCTGTGTTTTAAGTTTTGAAGTTGTGCGGCTTGAAACTGAACACCAGGGTTTTGCGCCAAGCTACCCCTTCGTATTCTAAAGTATAATTTGTACGAAGTATAAGTGAATTAGGAGGTCGGAGTAAAAAGTTTGTGTTCACGTGACTAGGGACGGAAATTTCTAAATCTCCAATAACGCACGTCCTTGTAGACTTTGATAACCAACACTTTTGCAACTCAACCATGTTATGCTTTGACTTTATTTTTATTTAATTAAATATTATTAAAAATTATTTTAAAAAATATATTATGAAACTTTATATTAATACCTATTTTACAATATATTTTATGATTCCTCAAAAAAAAAAAAAAAAAATTATGATAAAATATGTTTTTATTATTTTAGTAAAAAATTATAGTCAAAGTTAATACATAAATAGTGAAAAAACTCCAATGTCTCATGTAGTTTGGGACAGAGGGAGTACTCTTTATATAGAAATACGGTACTTTTTTTTTGGTCCTTTCCTTTAAAGTCCTAGTGGACTCAAGTAATTATAGTCCAATAATTTCTCAACTAGGGACCACCTTACCTAGGGGTGTTCGCGGTGCGGTTTGTATTTTTCTCAAACCGCACCAAACATCACTTCTAACCAAACCGCGCCGCAAAATACGGTTTGCGTTTTAACCACATTTAAAAAAAATATATAATTATTTATTTTAAAACAAAACTTTTATTTTATTTTGAGATTATTAATTAATAATTCAAATATTAAACACTTTTTTAAACTTTAATTAGTTAACAGTAAAAGATTAGCTCATATTTTTTAGTTCTTTTATATATTTTTAATAAAAACATAGTATAAAACCGCAAATCGCATCAAAGTGTGGTTTGCGGTGCGGTTTGGTCTAATTTTTTTGGAAACCGCACCAAATCGCAAACTGCGGTTTGGTCATTTTCAAAAACCGCACCGCAATTTTCAAACCGTACCAAACCGCAAAATTGCAATTTGGTGTGGTCTAAAGTTCTAAACCGCACTCTGAACAGCCCTAACCTTACCTTTTTTTTTTTTTCCTTAACTCTACTATTTGATTGGCTCTTTCTCTAGCTATGATGTTAGTAGGGCGGATTGCATCCCTCTCCTACTAGGGCAAGGATGGGTCTAAGCTAGTGGTGGGCAAGGATGGAGATGAAAATGCTAGATGCCTGGTATAAATGATAGGGGTAGGGGTGTTAATTGAGTCGAGCAGCTCGCGAGCAACTCGAACTCAACTCGGTCAAAACTCGGCTCGATTTGGCTCGACTCGAACTCGGCTCGACTCGAGATATTAACGAGCACGAATTGAGCAAGCTCTAACTCGACTCGATAAGCTCGTGAGTAATTCAAAAATAAATTTATTAGTATATAATTTACAAACAAAGTTACTATGTTTAAAATAATTTGACACTTAATAAGATTAAATTTATATTATCGTAAAATAAACAATAAATCATTAATAATTAATAGACAAATAAAAAAGAAAACTATATAAAGTGAAAAAAAATAAAATAAAGACCTAATTTTAGAAGAATTAAAACCTTAACGAGCAGATCATGAGCTACTCAACTCGATTTGAAACTTTAACGAACACGAGTCGAGCAGGTTTTATTGACTCCAAACTTTAGCGAGCATGAGTTAAGCGCAAGTAAAAAGTTTTTGAGTCGAGTCGAGCACCCCTCAGCTAGTGATCGACTCGCTCGATTAGCACCCCTAGATAGGGGCATCCCCACCTAGGAATGACAATGAGTCTAGAACCCAACCAATACCCGGTTAGACATGACCCGTTTTTTAGGGTCAATGAGTCCTAAAACTTTGGATCCGATGGATCTCTAGGGATAAGTGTATTGGGTTGGGTCTGGGTCCGGGTCTAAACTCCGACCCATATATCCGAAGATAATTTTTAAAAAAATTAATAATAAATAAGTCATAAGTTATTTAATATAAAGAATCAAATAAAAGAAAATCCTAAAGAACCAAACCCCAAACTACAGTCGCCACTCCTCCAAGTGCTCCAAGTCAAACGGCTCCTAGCTCAACTATCTCATATGTTTAGTAGTATATTTTTCAATTCTAATGTAACTTTTTATATGAAGTTTATTTTGATATGCACTATGTAGCAACATTATTTAATGTATCGATATTTATAGTCACACTAGTAATAGGATAGTTATAATATATAAAAAATATAAATGATTAAATAAATTAAGACCCGTTGACCCGAGGCGAAGAAAAATTCTACCATCTTGCCCATATGGATCCACCTCCAAAAATCCAGGTCTGGATTTGGACCTAGATCCAACTTATTGTCATCCCTATCCCTACCCCTTACCCACTCTGCCATGCTTTATACCCTTTTAAAAACAAAGAAGCTGAATAAAAAAAATAAAAATAAAAAATAAAAAATGGCAAAAGTAAGAAAATCGCCCAATAAAATTAAGTAAATAAAAAAATATATAACTTTTATTACTACTCTGTTTCTTTTGTTTATTTAAGTTTAATTAGTACATAAAATATTAGCTATTACACTTTTCTAGCGGAAAAATTGTTGCATATATGTACATTAATAAGCGGGTTGAAGCGGAAATATGGTGGGTCTAGGCAGGGATTTTGAGGGTGGTGCGGCAAAGAAGATGGGATTTTAATGGGTATGGTCATATGGATACCTAAGTGGGTGGTGGGGTGAGGATAATTTTATATTTATATCTAGTAGTTGTTGGTGCGCGCGTATTGCCCCCCCCCCAACGCTAGGATATGTATATTGGTGTATGTTTTTGTGTTGTTATTTTTGAATGTATGTATATGCACATAAATTGGATAATTATAAATTATACTGTATATCTTAAAATAAAAGTATATAATGTAGATTGGTGGTGTACTTTGAGTGCTTGTATATTAGTTTTTTCTCCTTGAAGTTGTTCGAGTATAGCTGGGATGAGCTAGTTATTTAGTGAAGTATATCTTATATGAATTTAGGTGCTACTTCTTAATTGGTCTTTTACTATCAATTTTATTTACTTAATCTAGTTACAATTGTTAGTTGGAGGGGTCCTTTGAATCATCAATCACATGTGCTCCCCTTAATTATCAAAACATAAAAAAGTTATAAAGAAACTTTTGATATGTTAAATTAAGTGATCTTTCTTTAGAAATTAGCTTAATAAAACGTAATTAGCTTAAGTGGTTTAACATTTTAGTGAGCCTTTTCCTAAAGCTAATTGCTCTGTTTTTCTTAAGTAATCTCTCTCTCTAATAATAATAATAATAATTAATTTAACTGTATTTCCAAACAAAACTATAACTAATTTTACTGCATTCCCAAATAAAACAATTAATAAAGAATACAAAAATTACCAAAAGATTACATATATGTAAACTTGTAACAGAACACTTCCTTTTTATTATGTAATTTTACATGATCACTTTAGTACTACCACTTCTAACAAAACTATACTTAAAAAGATACTCTGTATCACTATACATGGACAATTATCCCTAACCCGAGTAGCAATGAAGTGAAGCTCATCAAAGAGCAGAACACAAGGAGCTGATTGGCGAGCCTTTCAATATTTCCCTAACTTTGTCTCAATTCCCCTAACCACATGGTCAGGAATCGTCTGAGCATGATTTCTTCCTTTTTGAGCTTAACCTAAAATGCAACCTCAAAAACCGAAAAAAAAGCTATAATGTCAATGAGGGAGCCCCAGTTTCTCGTATTGAGTTCCCACATGGCATTTTTGTATATAAACCAACAACTTTATTCAATTGTGGAGCCCACAATAATTAAAAAGTTGTTGATTTATTCCTATGAGAAACAAATTTCGTTTCTCACTATGAGAAACAGAGAATTTCCCAATGTCAATAGTATCAAGGTAATTTTTATATTTTGTAGTAAAAATTTCTCATCTATTTTTCCTTTCTATTACAGATTAAATCATCCAAAGCAAGTAAAAACAAAAATGCACACATATCACATTTTAATCCCTGAATCCTAACTCTTAAGTCAGTACTCACCTAAAGTTCATTGCACTGTTGTATTTGTTTCTCCAGTTACTCCTGGGATTCCTTGATCTCTTTCAAGAGCTTATCCTGAAGTGACTGCTTACGTCCTCTAGCAGCAGTAAGCTCGCTCCTGCTTGGCATACTGATTTCAATCTCGATATATCCTCCCTTCCTCTTCTAAAATGATATGAACAGGCAGAAGCAAAAAAAAGATCCCTTAATCAATTCTCCTTCTACTGATAACATGAATTCCGTGAAAAGGAAGATAGGTTTAAGAAATCAATTATATATTAAATTAATTTCCCCTAGCCGCAGGATTCTAGAATTAAAAAGGAAAAAGCCAAGTAAACATATGCTATACTACTTATTTCAACATGGCAGATAGAAAGCACTGTAAAAAGGAAGAAAGGTGTAACACCCCAATAATTCTCCCTTTTCCAAACCACTTACTTAAAATATAATAGAGGAGAACTATTGATATGTTACCGTCACGTGTAAAAACGTTAAGGTTTTATCAAAGTATTGCAGAGAAAAAACCAAACTTAAGTCTTCAAAATAACAAAGTTTAGAAAACCAATAAGTCAAACTTACAAACTGAAACCATAAAGACCCTTATTTAAAACCAAACCAATATTTAAAACCCAAATCATAAATGAATAACAAAACATAAATAAATTCAACACAAAGATCGAATACTCTCAATCACACAAATCCCTTGACAATGCGTTGCCAATCCCCCGAACTTCACATCATCAAGCTAACTTGTGCAATACTGCTCCCTAATAATACAAGTGTAATAACTGGATCATCACATGGTCATTAAAAGGAGAAGGCCATGACCAAAAGAAAACACATAAAAGCACGCAATCAGCAAAGCTGAGTTCATACAGGCTACAACACATCAACTTAGCATGCTCAACTAATTAAAATAAATAACATTCAATATAAATTCATTAACCAAGACTCCACACCAAAATAGTTCAATCAACTTAACATACTCACTAACCAATTGCAATCCACTTGACTCTTTATATTTAATTTAACTAGTTGAGCCATCGTGCGCGATAGCCCAATAAAGCTAATGTAAAGTGTCGGTAATATGTAGGGTAAGTGAATGAGTAATACTAA